CTGTCCCGTCCCCGCCCCTCCCCCCCCCCCCCCCCCGCCGTCATCTCAGCAGCACAGTATCTACAATAGAGCCCTTTAGGTTTCTGGACATTAAACGTCAGCATTGTCACCAACAAGCCACAGCAGAGGATGAACTTCCTGCTCCAGCTCAGAAAGTTCAACCTGCCCACAGGTCTACAGAGGAATCATCGAGTCTGTTCTCTGCTCATCCATCACTGTCTGGTTTGGCTCAGCAACCAAACAGGACAGGAACAGACTCCAGCGACAGTCAGGTCTGAGAAGGAACCATTGGTGTCAGCCTGCCCTCCACGGAGGATCTGTACACCTCACGGGTCAAAAGGAGGGTGAAGAGGATCACTGCAGACGCTGGACACAAACTGTCTGAACTCCTCCCCTCTTGATGGCGTTACAGGTCACTGTGCACCAAGACAACCAGGCACAGGGACAGTTTCTTCCTCGGGGCTGTCACTCTGATGAACACTTAACTCATAACTGCATAACCCTGCAATAAACTGTAAATATACCTTTTGTATACATCTATCCAGAAAACTGCTTCTAAAATGTGTTTCTATATTTGTAAGTATTTTATTTTCCTAAAGCACATCCCTTGTTCTGTCTACTGTTGTCTTACATTAGAACACTGTACATGCACACTGGGAGCCGCTGTACCAGAGTCAAATCTCCCCTGTGTCCAACACACCTGGCCAATAAAGCTGATTCTGAGAATGAGAAACAGAACATGAAATGTAGAAGCTGTAGAAGAGCGAGCTTTGAGCAGTAAAATGTCCCTCTGGGTGGTGGAGGCCCACAGGACACCGGCCTCTGCTGTCACACACAATGATGGAGGCGAAGCAGGACGGAGACTGGGCCAGTCAGGCCAGGAAATATCTGCCCCCCGCACACTCTCCACCCCAACCATGAAAACTATGTGCAAACCGCAAAACCCTTCATTCCCAAGTTTCCCTGTCACATCCCTGATTCACACGTAGCTCAGAGTCTGTGTTCACGTCCAACTGCTAATTAGGAACGAATGGCACGTTCGTCCTGCAGCGTGTTTAACTGTTTCATGTGAGAAAGAAACCCTGCAACACCGCCTCCGTCCCAGTTTAGGAACCCTGTCGCCACATCAGTCACACCAAACCCCCTACAGAACTTTACCAATTTGAAGTTTGCCTTTGGTTCCGCAGCTCTGACTCGTCTCGAGGACAAAGCTGCTCTGTAAAGTCGGGTTACACGACACAAAGCAGGGTTTGGCGATATTTGGTGTTCGCCGAATAAAACGTGCGTCCTCACCGTTTAGGAAAATGTGGGTGTTGGTGTTATTTCGTTTATGTGCGTGACAATCAGCAAGAAAACTGAACTGCAGCTTTTTCTCAAAGGGATTCGACGCGGACAGCAGGGGCTGTGCGCGGGGCTCTTACCAAGGTGCAGGGTGAGGTTGATGGAGTTCGGGTACTGGATGCCCGCCAGCATGGTCTGGCTCTGCCACCAGGTGGTGTCCTGCTGGTTGTTGTAGTCGGTCAGGTACACGGCGTTGTGGTGGTTCCGTGGGTCGCGGGCGTCGCAGATATGGCACGACTTGGTGACCCCGGTGGCGCCCGTCTGCACACAGTACTCCTCGGGCGGGGAGCCGCAGGTGTTGGTCGCCACCACCGTCACGTTGAACGCGGCGTTAACGAACTCGGGCATGCAGCGCTGCGGTCTGCCCTGCTCGTCCGAGCACTCGTCCATAGCGGCGCGGACGCACAGCGCCAGCCAGCTCCAGGCAACTAGAGCCCGGACCAAACTTGGCATTTTTCAGTCCTCTGCGTCCTCCTTCTCGGCCAGAAACTCTCTCTGCGGCTCCGACACAAACTCTCCTGAACTCTGCGAAGTTTACGGCGCCTCTCCGGTTACTGACAGATTCCCGAGGAACAACTAAAAGCGTCCAGTGAGAACATGCGGGAAGGTTCTTGGCTCCAGGCTGCGTTCAGAGCTCGTCTTCCGGCTGTCCTGGTCTGTGACGGTCTTTGCTCGGGCCTCAAGTCTTTGTGTGCGCCGCCATGCACCAACTCCAGCAGGAAAAGACGGGAGTCCAGACTACACCCAGTCCGCTACTGCGCAGCTCTGAGGCGCAGGGGACAGCCGGGCCACTTCCGAGTCAACAACCGAGACAACCTGAGTCAGACTTGAGAAAACGGTCTCGAGTTAAACCGTGGACACGTTTATCACCAAGGTTTAGTAAAACCTCGTGTTTATAGACTCAGACTCTGGGCACCACAGATCCATGTGCAGCATTTAGACCCAGTCCCCGTCTCTGGGCCACTGTTCTTCAACCAAATGTCAGTTAATTTCTGAGCTCATTAAAACCTTGATTTGATTTGATTTGATTTATTCTTTCAAGCATATAAAACTGTTGATATAACAACACACATGTTTACATACAATCCAATATCAATTTGCTTATACCTAGTACATGCTTGAATGGAGTAGGAAGAAGTCAGACTTATCCAGTCCTACCCCATGACATCATCTTACCATCATTGGTTTACAAGCAGTAAATGATTCACTTCAAAACCTTTTCACCCCTTACCTTCCAATATGACGAAAAACGGGAGTTTACCATTCACACTTATTAAAACAAAGTTACTCGGCATTTAAAAGTCACGTTTTCATGAAAAGGGTCGTTTTAAAAAGAGTTTGGGTGAATTTAATGTGACCTGTTGCATTAATAAACCAGGGGAATCAGTCAGGTCACCCACAACTGAACTAGGTTATCAGCTGACAAGTTCAGTTTGGCCAGGAAAAGAAAAACAGAACCATGAAAGTGGGCTGTTTGTCTAATTTGTGAAATACTGAATCAGATAAATCGTTTTTAAAAAAAACTAGATTTATTGTCTCAGCAGATTGAATATTTGATCAGAATTTTGATTTAGTCACAATTGTAGTTTCATGTCTGACATCTGCACAGGTCTGGAGTTCTGGGAGAAAGAGGATGTCCACACTAACAACAAAATAAAATATTAATGCTCTTGCACAGGTGTTCCTAATATTCTGAACTCCTCATATGTGAACAGGGAGGACAAAACAGCCTCAGGTACCAGCTCAGTAATGAAACATCCCGAGCTTCATGAGGTCAGACGGTGGTGTTCCTAATAAAGTGCTCACTGAGCATGCACAGAGGTGTTCAGGTGAATGTCACGTGTCTCTGCTTCACTCAAACACAAAAAACTCAACTTTTTGCAGTGTTGTAGATTCAGTTTTACATATATCAGGGTGAGATTTCTGTGAACTTTGAAAATGAGTATTGACACGTTCAAAGGTCCAGAATGATCCAATGACAAGAGAAACAGCAGATTTCAGACTTTCCAGCCAGATAAACTGATGTTTTGAGGAGAAACAGTTCACTTGTCAAAGCCGATTCAGTGGAAATGTCTTTGTTTGACCGAAGAGACGTTTAAATGTTCTCCTCTGGTGCATTTGTGTGAACAGTGGTCAGACCAGTAACCCAGCTGAGAGGCCGCTCTGCCCCAGACTGAGCCCAGCGTGAAGCTGGACCTTTGGATTCAGACCTGATCAGAGCAGACACAGTGCTCCTTCGTTAGCACACAGATGAGCTCTGACGAGATCTTCACACCACAGGTTGATTAAGTGCTGCTCATGTTAAGGTCAGTGACCCAGGATTCAATCAGTCAAATACAATGCAGCAGTGACAACAGAACTACTCCGACCCTTTCCAAGTTAATTTACCACACAGAGAAAACACTGCACTATTCCATTCGAAATCTGAGGTGCAGTAAAAGTATGTATTACCAGGAAAACATACTTGGTATCAAAAGTAAAACTTCTCCTTCTGCAGAGTCCCTGCCAATGTTTTATTTATGGGTTCATGTTACCGGTGCACTGAAGTGCGTGTCACATTTGACTGCTCTAGTTTTGAAGGCTGCACTTTACAAAGTGCCAGGAGCATCGTTCACAGCAGGTCCTCACGTCTCTCTTACCAAACAGGTCCAGACCTCCCAAACAACCTTAACTGACCAACTAAATACAATTTGTACATTTCCAGGATGAGCACGTGAACAGGGCGTGAGCCAGATCATGGGTGTTTAGTGTGAAGCCTCAGACCTCAGGTGTGTAGTTTCACCAGAGAGAACACAGCGAGTGGGACTGTCGCCGACTCAGCCAGCCTGTTTGTTTTCATGCGAACCGCTGCTCTCCACTTGGAGCAGCAGAAACGGGAGGCTTCTACCGTTCACAGCTCTCTGCTCCTTGGTGAACTAGTTTTCACTCCCCAGTCACAACAGGTGGCCATCCCATTAGAAGCTGCCTGGAGCCTCCCTGTGAAGACTGCGGCGCCCCCTGCTGCTGAGGTTTCTGCAGCAGCACCAACAAACTGAAATCACATGAGAAACTGAGGAATATGCAATAAAAAAGTATGAATCACAGGGAGATGTCCTGATCATGTTGGACCATCTTGACAGGAAGCTATGCCACTGGACTGGGGGACCCACAGTGAACTGTCTGAGCGCACAGCGACCTCACCTGGACCAGGGACACTCCTGGCTCCACAGCAGGGCAGGGAGGTTTCGACTGACTGAACTCCCACCTTCTCTCAGTACAATAGCATTGAGACTGCTTTGTTGAAAAAGGGTCTACTCCCACTTCAATGTGACAAACATCTCCTCATCACTGTTTGAATGCACTTAATGCAACATGGCTACAGGAAGCAGCGAGGGCGCGAGGCTCCGGACTCCCTCTGCGCCGGTCGGTCTCTGCTCACTGACGGTGAAAACAACAAAACATGACGAGGACCTGAAGGTGGACACTGATCTTAAGGACTTGTCTCAGTATCTTTTGCATCCATAAATGGGGTAAAACTATGGAATAATTTAAGTGTGGACATAAAAATTAGTAATAGAATTGATGAGTTTAAACATAAATATAAAGGTATGTGTCAAT